AATAAATATACTACTAATTTTTCAAGAGGTAATCTAATGAATCCTGTTTTCCGTCTGTATCCAGGAACACGACTGGTCCCACGTTCTCAGTATTGAGCTGCTCGTTAGTGTGAACAGGGATTTTGACTCGACACATTCACACGTGTTTCCCTCTCCTCTCTGGCGGCCTGCAGCCAGCAGCCCGAGGCCGGGTGAAGACAGACCACATGAACTCCTGGATTAGATGGAGCTGTAAATATTTGATGAGCTGCTGCGTGATTCCAGCAGCTTCACGGGCGTCCAAGGTTATAAGACTTTGCAGCTTCGCACACACACACACGGTGACAATGACGAACACACAAACACACTGTCAAGCAAGCACACATGCAGACATATGCTCAAAGTGCATACATATATATGGAGATCAGTCAACACAAGCTTGCAGAATCAGTCATTCATGGATGTGTGTGTGTGTGTGTATGTAAATATATTTGTGCATCTATTCCTGTGAAGAACCCGACAGAGATAATCTTCATGCTCCTTCATTTCAACCAACGTCCACCCATAAACTTTAAACCAAGTCTTACCCGACAAATCGAAATGAACTGAATGTTTTCCATGTCATCAGTTTCCTTTTCTTTCCAAACATCACCAGGAATGTCCTCTGCCTCAATCTCACCTTTACAAACGTTTCCTCATTTAACAATCATTCCCTGACTTTGGAAATTGTCCTAAGTTACCAAAAATGTCCCCAACAATGACCACAGTTTAAAACAATTCCTAACCATTTTCTTCCATCTGCCCGTCATCTCCACCTTTGGGGGTCCAATCCCAACTGACTTTGGACGAGAGGCCGCATTCACACCTATGACAAGTCTTTGTCATTCTCTCAGTCTGTCTCAGTCATTCTCATTTTCCTGCTCTCTTCGCTCTGACCAAAACATTTTCTCACTGAATTTCTTAAAATGTCCACTTCTCTGTCCTTTCTTATAAAATCATGCCGTCTTCATGTTCACAGACTTGTACAAAACAAACCCAGAAGCTGCAGCTGCTTTGAGGATCACCTGTATGAACCCATCAGCTCATTGATACACGCTCTGACCTCATACATGATTGATACATCGATACGTAACTCATTTATAATTAAAAGCTGCTCACAGAGCTCCGAGGGATCAGAGAAAATAAGCGAGCGTCTCTCTGCTGCTCCTGCTGCCGGCGTCCGACCGTCTGTGCTCGAATACAAACACGTCGCCGCCACTCACGTCCTGCTGCTGTCAAACTGACTGTCTGTGTTCGTTGAGGCGTTAGATGAAGGATGGAAGAGATCAACCTTTACGCATCATTATTCAGCCACTAGGGGGCAGAAGACTGTAAAACTATAGTGGACAGAGGGGGGTCAGGGCATCAAGAAAGTGTAGGGTCCCTTCTCAGGCAACTATCCACCAGAGCTTATTATAGGCCCCCAAACTGTAACTAGAACAAGACACGCAAGTGGTATGTACCGAGGTGAATAAGAGGGGATGAGGGAGGATGAAGGGATGAGGGAGGGAGGGAGGATGAAGGGATGAGGGAATGAGGATGAAGAAATTAGGGTAGGAATAAGGGAAGAGAAGATGGAGGGATGAGTGTGATGATGGGTTGGTTAAACTGGGGATTAGAGGTGTGACTCATTAACCTGAGTTAACTAGTTAATGTCAACAAAACCAGGCTGACATCGTCTCAATGTTTCGTGGCCTGAGCAGAAGATTCACAAATACAATCCAACTTTACTTTGAAGGAATTTACAGCTGAGTTTACGGCCTCGGTCTGTGAAGAAAATAAACTTCAGCTACAGAATCATCTTCTCCTCAAGAAAAAACGTTGAATTCACCGAACAGATAATTTCTCTCTTTCATATCCAGTGAATGAGATTATGTGCTGCAGAAAAATCACTTTAATCAAACTCTGAACCTGAACCCTGGTCCGTCTTGAAACAACAAACCTACGGACGATGTGTGGAAGGAGGAACAAACTGCAGACGAGAGGAGAAACTCATATTCTCTGTTGCCTATTCCTGGCTGATAACTTTTCTATTTCAGGCTGTTGTTTAGACAGGTAGCTTCACCTGGGAATTAGCGGAAAAGCCACAGAGCTGCGATAAATCAAAGCCATAGTGATGTGTTCAGCAAATGAAGCACAGAGGGAGTGAAATTAGATTCCAGAAGGTAAAAACGAAGAGGGCGTATAAAGCAACTCTGGAGCAGAAGCAGGGAAATGAAAATGGTGACAAACTGTTCAGGCTGCAGGACGGTTAACCAGCCTCGAGCCTGTTAAAGAAACATGGCAGGAAAAATACGACATGCGTTTATATCAGAGACGAGAGGCTCGTCCACTTTTAAACGCAGTGATAACGACAGGGGCTTTATAAAAGTAGTCCTGTGTACTCAAATAAAATTTAAATAAAATAAATACCAGTACTATACAGTATGAAGCCGTGGTCTTGCAAATATTTCACAATATAGCCTGTGTTTATTCTACTATGAACCACAAAGTTTATCTGTCACAAACATATTCGCACACTTCCCAAACCCGTTTCAAAGTAAAAGCACTCCAGCGTCTCATTTTCTAAATCCATTCATTTGTTCTAACTGAACCTTTTCTGATTGTTATCAACACACCGGAAGATGCGCGTCTTCATACCATAGAGTCCTGACATTAAGTTTAGTACCACAATCCGACTTGTATTGAAGGAAATGCATTAAACTTTTTTTTCAGCTGAAATCCAATATATCTGGATATTCAGTAGAGAAAATATTTATTTGGGAATTCTGCCGTATGAAGATACAGTGCATATGAGCACAGACAGTATAAAAAAAAGAAAAAAAACAGATGTGAAGGGGTGACATCGTAACTGTACGCAGCGGCTCAGCCATTCATGCCTCGGAAAGATAAATAGTAAATGTCCAAATCTCCCTGAATAAGTCACAAACAGGGGTAGTTGCTCTCAGACAGTGTGGCAGCAAAGGCAGCTGCCTCCAAACAGACTTTAGTCTGGGAGGACAGGTTTAGGGTTAGTGTTGGGGTTAGGGTTAGGGTTGGGGTTGGGGTTAGGGTTGGGGTTAGGGTAATCCTCTAACCCATTCATTAGCTTGTTGAGCTGCAGGATCTCCTCCTGGATGATGGTGAGGCTTTGTGACCTCTCCCAGCAGCAGCAGCCTGTGAGCTCATGCTGCTGCCGTCGATGTATCCGCAGCAGCTCCCGCTGCTCCATCAGTCGCTCTCTCAATCTTATGTACATCATCTGAGGACAATGAATAAAATTAACGGGCTGCATCTACAACTAAACTAAGGACGACAACAACAGTCAGGAGATGTCATTCAGATTATCCACAAGAGGGAAATATTTTAGACACTTTAAACACTTGATGACGTTAAGCTTTTTAAAACATAATTTTAACAAAAATGGAGTCAGTTTTACCAGTAAAAACGGTTTCTACTACAAGGTGCTTTATAAATTTGAACATGGAGTTTCCAGATCTTTAAAAAGCAAACATCTTATTTGTGTTTCATTTGATGATCAAACCTTCATTCTTTGTTGCTGCTCTTCCCTCAGCTTCTCTTGCCGCCTGATTCTCTCTTTGGTTCTACAGAGCAGAGAGAACAACAACCAGACCGTTTTGATCACATGTAACATTTCAGAAATGAAATGAGTGAAACACAATGAGACTTGTCTCATCCTTGCTGTTGGCTCTTACTCTCTGTCCGTCACATCTCTTAAGCTCTGGAAATCCTGCTTCTGCTTCAGTTCAATGAACTCTTTCAAGCGTTTCAGCTGCTCCGATCCTGAACCCACCAACTCTGCCACAAACTCTTCCTGCATCTCGTGTTGCTGTTTGAGGGCACGCTGAGAGACAGATTTAAGACAACAATCACTTGAATATCAGGGTTATTGGACCTTTCCTACACACAGTAACCATATAACATCCATATATCAGGACTGAAAGTAGAACTAAGGAGAGGGAGGATCGCAACCAACCTTCCATTAACCCCCAAATTCAGCTGAGCTGCCAGCGTGTGTGAGTGCTAGACAAAGCCATGTACTACGAACAGCAGCTCCACATCATAACTTACTGGACTAAAAAGTGCTGGATTCAAATATGAAAAAAAAAAACTGTTTAGTTTATATTTGAATCCAAAACTTTTCTCTTAAAAACAGACAGTTATTTACAAAAAACTATCACATACGACCAAATTAACAAGATATAAGTTAAAAAAACATATTTGTGATGCGATACATCTCTATTATTTATCCAAGAATAAACACATGTAGAAAATACATCTCCAACAAAAAGAATACAAACAGATCAACACATGAAGTGAACTTGCCTGACTTTCCATGTCAGCGTTGATGTCAGAGGGTTCTCTGTACATAATGCACTCAGGGGTCTGATCAGACAGGCTAGCATCTTGTAAAGATTTATAGCGGTTCAAAATATTCTACAAGAACAAAGACACATCATAACACGTGAGTTTCATTCATGGAGATTTTTAAAAATTTTATATTTCTATTGGGAGAACATGACCACATCCACCCATCTCACAAGGTTTTATTATATTAGACATTTCAAATGTTGAAATGACACAAATTAGATCTCTTTAAACTGGATTTCAGGTTAATAGACATTATTTTATAGTGTCTGTGTTTCAAATTGTATTTAGCTGTTTAATATCTAAATGTATTGAGACTTATCTCTTCTATTTACTGTAACTTTGAATCTATTGATTGCTGTTGTACATTTTAAAATCACCCGTAAAGACAGAGACACGTAAACACTGTGTTCAGTAGTAAACATACTTGAATGTTTTCCACCTAGCTGCTTCAGTATCGGTACATTTAGCTAATTGTTGTGATGTGTTGTGACTGTAAAAGCTCCTGGTTGAGTTGAAAATGTTAAACAACTGTTTAATAAATGAAGTTAGTTGAATAAAAGCTAAATAAACAGAGTTAGCCTGTTAGCTCAGCCTGGCTAACATGAACAACAGTATAGGCTAATTAGCTGAATTAGCCAAATGCTAACTCACCTCGACTCTCTCCAACCAGAGCGGGTTGGCCGTGATCTTGTCCTTCTCTGAGTTTCTTACAACCTCCATAAATTCAAATAATAAAATTGACGTCATGGACAGAAAACAGAACCTCGTGGAGTTTGTAGAGACACGTCCGGTGTCAACACAAAGTGCCACTATTTGGAGGCAGCTGCCTTTGTTGTCATATTGTTTAAAGGCAGCTGCCTTTGTTGTCATATTGTTTAAAGGCAGCTGCCTTTGTTGTCATATTGTTCAAAGGCAGCTGCCTCTTTCATGTCATCATGTGTTTCTTACACATTAATGTCCATATAAGACATTCCCGATGGTCCAGACTTCCCACCAGGACGATGGGTGCTTCCTGGTTGTTGTTCTCCAACTGCCCGCTCAACTCCTGCTGCACCTCCATTTTGAATCTGATCCTCCAGGGCCCTTTGGTTACGGAACTCCATAGCCACTGTGACCAAGACCTGTCTCAACAAACCATTACAATATAAGAACTAGTGGGGGGGGAGTGCAGATCAAGAGTTACACTAACATCATTCATGCTAAATACTTCCACTACTGTGTCTTGAATTATCTCTTAACCTTTATGAAAGGAGGCAGTGGATCTCCCATAAATACTATGAAAAATAGGATTTGATACTTTATGTTGTGGAAATGAAACAGCATGAATCTGAGCTTACGTATGAAGACTGCTTTACCTTGAACCATGAACAGCAGATCACAATGTGTTCATTTATGACATCATTACATGAGACAGAATTCAATAACAATGTGAAAACTCCAACATACATTTTTGGCATAAATAACGGCTAGAAGTTCTTTTTCCTTAGAAAAAATATTCATCAGCATTTAAGTTAAGATTCTCACTTTAACGACAGTCACAATGTTGATTTATGGTCTTGTGAGAAAACTCTGGTAAGTTGTGTTCTTCTCGCATTTTTTCAACTTAACCAACAACTGATGAATCCTCTTACAGATACAGCGCTTGACACAACATAAGGTAAAATAACGATACCATGCTGCCCCCAGGTGGAAAGGAGCAGCATGGTGGGAATTGTGGGAAAACTAACAGACTCTGTCAGGCATCATGTGACCAAAGAGCCGCACATCGACTGATCTGTGGTCAGATCCAAAGACTGAATATCAACACAGTGTTATTTTAATGTCAGACGGCCACTGAACAGCAGCCACTGTTTCCACTAGAGACAGGACAGCCAGTCACTCACAGAGACCAGTTCCTGTCTCAGTACACAACAATGACACAGATTACAGAGTGGACATGTGGGGGTATAGCTCAGTGGTAGAGCATTTGACTGCAGATCAAGAGGTCTCTGGTTCAAGTCCGGATGCCCCCTGTGCCACATTTATGCCACCTCACACTTGGACTCATTGTTAATGCCACAAACAATATTTCCGTCTTCTACAGAAGAGACGTTAAACACACGATGTCTGAAGAAACATAAATAAAACCAACAGGAGGAGGATACAGTCACCTTCACGTCTTCATGTGTTTCTTTCTTACACATTAGACATTCCAGATGGTCCAGACTTATCGCCAGGATGATGGGTGCTTCCTGGTTGTTGTTCTCCAGCTGTCTGCTCATCTACTGCTGTACCTCCATTTTTATCTAATCTGCCCGGTTACGGAACTCCATAGCCAGGAAATTTTTTTGTAAGAAGCATTGACCTTGACAGTTGAAGCAGTTAAATCTTTATTGAGTCGTTCAATAAAAAATGGAAACTTTTAGTCCTGCTGCTGTAGCACATGTTCTGACCTGGAGCTCGCTCACCTGCTGCAGGTTTAAGACCTGTGTGGTAACTTTAACCTCACGTATTATATGAAATGGGGTATAGCTCAGTGGTAGAGCATTTGAGTGCAGATTAAGAGTTCACTGGTTCAAATCCAGATGCTCCCCTGAATCACCTCTCCACACAGATGGTGCCAATGACCATGTGATGATAAATATCAAACTACTGCCTATAAAGACTTAATTCCACCTTACTTTCCTGCATGAGACATATGTGACATATTTCAGCAGGTTTGATTTGAGGGCAAAGGCAGGGTGTCCCTTTTTGGGACTGGAGCTGCTCAAGCTCTATCACTGAAAAGAAGACTGGATTTCTGTCTTAGAAATTCAACAGAAATCAAAAAGCATTAATATTCATCTGCTACAGAGCGTCAGGGTCTCTCCGTCATACACTGCAGTCTCCAGCTCCCTCAGCAGCTGCTGTGCCAGTGCCACATAGATAAACTTCAAATAAATGATTTAGACATACAATGATTTATTATTTCTTAATTTATGTAACGCTCTTAGGATTTATATGTCAGTGCCATTGTCTGCTTTAGATGGCATTGTGTTTGTCCTGATAGATGAATGAAACTAAAGTGTTTGATTAGTTTGTTCTCCTGTGCTGCTCTAGGAATTAGTCTGCATCACATCCCTGGCCACTCGGATTGCATCAGTGAAGTAATTCCCCTCTTGTTACTTATTACTGAAGAAATATCAAAACAACGTGAACATGAAATGAAATGCATTTTAAAGATGTAGTGGAGTAAGAAGATAATTTGCTGATAAGTGGAGTAAAAGTGAAAAGTACCTTAAAATGAAAGTGAAAGAGAGATTTACTTCAGCGCAGTAATAAAGTAAATCTTCCATGTGGTCTGAATGAGGCTGAGTTCTCATGTTGCTGCAGCTCCAACTCCTCAGCGACAGAGGTCAGTCAAGGCCGTGGGTTCCAGATCACTCCTCTCAGGTCACATCAGTTCACACGGGCAGCTGTACAGTGGAAGTCAAACCTGCTGGAGAAAAACAGTTGTGTTTACGCAGACGTGTTTGTGAAACAGACTGACTGACAGACAGACACACACTCTCTCACCTGCAGCAGGAATGCAGCCAAGTGGGGCGACAAGAAAATAACTGTTATGAAATGTGAGGAGGTCAATGAGTCAGTTCATCAGACGCGCTGACTCAATGTTTTTCCACCGTGTCCTCAAACCTCACCCGGGAATACCATCATGATAAGGAGCTGCAGGAGGGTTTGTGTCATGTTAAGATATTCATGCAACTACTCAAAAGATTACAGAGAAGAATATCATCAATGAAAACACAGAAATAAAAATTTTAATGAAATATATTGAATACTTGTAATATTATTTAACATTTCTTTGCTTGCCATGTGACAGATAAACAGAACAATCCTGTTGGTTGTATGCTGCATCACAGTTTATCATTTCAGAATATAAAAACAAATCATGAAAATATTCACCCTCCTTGGTATTAATTAGTCCAATAAATCCAATAATTATCATCAAGGATGAATTAGATGAACTTGTAAAACACATCCAACAGTGACTCGTATCTCCTGAGTACTGATACGACCCTGAAACACAATTAATCTTCACATGGTTTAAGTATCAAAAGTAAATTATGTACTGAGAAAATGATCCCTGTAACTGCTGCACTATTATACATTGTGTGAGTAGATTCTTATATAATCGAATCAGTTTACGGATTGCCTCAGCTCTACTGTACATACTGTTCGGCAGTTTAATTTAAAACAGAGCATCATATTTTACAAAGAAAATCCAGAATAAACTGCAAATAACTTATTTAAAGTAACTCAATTAAACAATGTGAACATTTTCTGAACGTTGCCACACTTGAGGTTTGATGTGAAGTAAAAAAGCTTTGAAATGCATAAGATTTCCGCTGCCCTGACAATCCCACAACATCTGACTTGGTTTTTATCAGAAACTGCAGCAAATTGAGTTTTGCTGACGTAAACTCAAAACAACTCATCATTTGACCACAGAAGATGATGCATGAAACCCATGAAGGGAAAACCAAGATAAGGAGCAGCAGCAAAACACATTTCTGTCTCTGTTTTGATCTCCCTTCTTTCCGCCCTCACCGGTTTGGCCTTTTTTGTTGTGGCGAGGCCTGCCAGGGGTCAGCGGGGGTCGCGCCAAACATAGAGAATGAGGGTAAATTCCCTCAAACACACTAATAACCCCTGGTGAGCTCCCCTTACCCCCTCCAAGGTAATTTTTCACAGCTCTGCACCCGACCACTCGGAGGAGGCAGGCAGCTGGATGCCGGCCGCTTCCATCCACACGTCTGGTTTGCATTAAGTGGACACATGTGGTCTCTGTTTTGAGACGTGCGGCTGACACGAACCCCTAACCAGCCATATGACAAATGGGTTTCTCAGGCAGCGGATTTAGGCTCCACTTTGTTCAGGGTCAGTGTTTCACTTTAAACAAGAGGTACTGCATCGACAGGAAGCATATAATTTGATTTAAGCCCTTCGTTAAGAATGGCGGCGTGTCACTGTGATATGGAACAGTTGATCTGAGGGGGACTTTGTGGACCTACTGCGTCCTCCTACTGCCAGGAGGACACATGTTTGATGTTTCAGCTCAAACTTGTATATCACATGTCAGACTGTTGCAGCTGCGTGTTGCTGTAAAAGGTAAGACGACTCTTATGTCCACGAGATTTATCCTCTGGCTCCGCACACAATAGCTCAGTGTATAGCTTGGCAGGTGATGGACACGTTAGCTGTGGCAGGGATCAAACCTGTGACCTTTTTTTATGACCGGACCACCCTGCAAAGCCAAACAGCCACTAGATACTTTGATAAAGGGACGAGTCTGATCCAGAACCAACACTGAACATATCCAACTAACAAGCATTGTGTGTTTGATGCATCTCAGTCCTCTGTGCCCAACAAAGAGCGTATGACCTTCTGTCTGTTTGTTTGCTAGAAACTACAGAGGCCTTGCTGTTTATGGATAATACTGAGGAGAGAGGGTCTCTAAAGTGGCTCTTCTGGAACTTCCATCATATCACATGATCCTCTTTGGTACATGGAGTTGCCTCTCTGTTCGCTTTAAGCACTTCTCCTCCATGTTACTTGAAGGTCAAAGTTTAGCAGCATCCATCACAAGGTCCATTTAGCTGATGTTCTGAAGCTCTCGATCTTTTAACGTTGAAGATTCATAGACATTGGTTCAAGTCCATGTGGTTTGAAGTCAATTTCACAAACAGACTTCGTACTCTACTTGGGTCAAACTGAAATATGAAGTTTCATCTTCACACTGTTTAGTATTTCAGAGTAAAGCCCTTC